ATTTCCAACCCCAGGAACCTGAGGCAAAAGAGGCTGGGTGTGCTTGCTTTTTTATCTCCCCAGTACCTGTGCCCATGGAAAATGTGGGCACTTACGTTGTTGACTTTGTGGCATGTTTCTTTCTCTGTAAAGTGAGAGTGGTGGATGTGAATGTAATCAGACATAATTACACACCCTTTGGGAAATGGGGTGGGTTTCCTTCTCCTCATTTTCTCTGGGGGGCTATCTGGGCCACCAGGCAGGAGCAGGGCACCCAGTGAATGACTGGGATTTCCTCTTTGTCTAGGCTGGTGTTCTCAAAGCCTGGTAGCCTTAAGCCTCTAATTGGTAGCTCCTGTGACACTACTAGACACTTGCAGTAGCAGTCTTGTCTGGCCTAAAGGAGAGCAGGGGTGGATATGGGACAGCTGGCCTCACTTCCCAGCCCCAGGGAAGGGCATTGCTGGAGGAAGCACAGGAATTGTGGGGTGGCACCAGGCTGAGGATGAGCTGGTGGGTGTACCTGGGTAAGCCTAGAAGGTGCTAGGAGTGAAAAGCTCATAGAAGGATGGGAGCAGGAGAGGGAGGAGACTGAAGGAGAAGCTTGAGGCAGAGAACCTGCTGCTGTCCACTTTCCTACCCCGGGAGTGGGTATGCTTGGACGTGGGAGTAGGTAGAGCATGCCTATCTTTAGCCTTTGGTCCTGGGCTGGGCTCTTCTTGCCTTTTCTCTGCTTCTGGGAAGCCCCAAAAGCACTCCTCGCTCTTTCAGATGAGACTTCTTTCTCAGGCACACTACAGAGCAGGGGGTGGAACAGGCAGGGCAGGGTAAGACAAGAGTCCAAAGACGTCCCACCAAAGAGGCCAATAAATCTCTACCCAGTGATACAGGACCCATGTGCCAGAACCAAGCCAGGGTGTGGGCCTGGATTGTCTGTAGCTTTGTGTGTGCATATGCTTAGATGTGAAAGTATTTGTTGTGAGGAATGGGTGCCTAATGCATGCTTGTGTATCTGGCACATGTAATACTTGAACAGTGAAATGTGTCACCAAGCACACTTGGAATGTGTGTGCAGTTGGGAAAGCCTGGGTGCTCCCCCTTTCCCTTCCCAGAGGTGGGAAGGAGGTGTTTGGGGGTGCCTGCAGGTGCATGGCTGTGTGTGTGTCAGGGAGGGGGAGGTGTTGGCAGGGGTAGAGGAGGCTACAGGAGTTACAGAGTGCAGATTCCTGAGGGTGTGGCTGCTGGACAGGCCCTGCTTGTCTCCTGCTCAGCTTCCCCAGCCTCTTAGGCCCTGGGTTCTCCAAAGCCCCTCCTTAATGCTTCTTGCTCCCATCATCAACCCAGGACACCAGGCTGGGTTTCTGTTTTTTTTTTTTGAGACAGAGTTTCACTCTTGTTACCCAGGCTGGAGTGCAATGGCG